TGCAGAATTTTTATTTCTATGTCAATGTCTATGCAGGTAGTGTGTATCAAATATCCGTAGATAACGCATGTTTATTCCTTGTTTTTACTCAGGCAGGTGACATCCCGAGCTCCAACATCGTATCACAATATGCCAATGCGGTTTTCATTGGTTTGAACAAACTGGGGCAGTGCCACCTTAAATGCAGGCTCCAGTGTTTTTCAGGTTCCTGATGAAGATCCAACATAGCACTGATGCCTCGTGCTTAACCTATAGACCTTGCAATGCCATCATCCAGGTTCTCGTAATGTTCATTCACACTTCCACCTTTTTGTTCTGTGTAATTTCTGGTGGAAATATACAACACACAAGCCTCCTCAGGAACCTGATTTTGTTTTATATCTAAGTCGAATGTGCATGTTAACAAGAAAACATTAAATGTTGTGCGAGTTCTTTATCATCGAGTTATTGCAAAGAACCAACTAATTTTATTGTGCAATGGTTGGCAGAGGAAAATCACGAAAAAACGAAGGATCCAGTGAGGAAGGTCTTGCGTGAACTGAAGAAGTTCTCCAGGTAGGAAGATATTTTTTGCACCGCCTGTCCCACGCACTGGTCTCGGGTCTCCCTGACTTGTGACAAGCAATCGTGAGAACCATTGTGAGAACACGATGTCATGTAAACAGACGGGTGCCCTCTGCTGTGTGCGTGCGCAACGTGATTCACTCCGCGCACCTCCTGCTCAGTGCACTGGGCGTGCAGTGACCTTCCCATGCTGGCAGGTTTGACGGTGCAGCAGTGCTGACCCTGGAGTGTCTCTTGGAAGAGCTGACTGCTGAATGCTCAAAGGAGGAAAAGATGTTGCGGCACTCGGCCTACAAGGATGAGGGAGGGCCAGGTGCGTTGTAGCTGAACAAAGTTCATCTATACACTTTACAACGCTGTGGACAATGTGTTGGTGATTGTAAACAAATCCAGACAAAGAGTAGAAATTATGTATTAATGCTATCTGACAGAAATATATCTTTGTCCTAGATCTTCTTAAGAAGATCCTTGATTCTCCCAAATCGGAAGATGTGAGAATCCCTCTTCTGGAAATGTTGAGCAAGATTTTCAATGCTGTTGCAGTTCAAACGTCAGACGAAAGTAAGACTGCCAATTACCTGCACCTCCCTATCCTCCTTGACTCTTTTTGCCCATACACTCTCAATATCCCTGCACCCACTTTTTTATTTTGCTTGTGCTCCACTGGCAATGCAGCATCACCAAATTATATAGGTAGCAATGGTAGTGTTTCATTATTTTGTTTAAAATAGTTTAGACAAATGTTTTAAAACAAGTTTGAGATCAACAGGCATGAGATGCTTTGTGGCATTGCGGCCCGTTTGGGATGGCAATGGTGTCGGGAGGCCTTCATCCAGCAGTGGATATAGAACGGCCAATTATTATGATGACAGCATACAGCTTTTATTAATGTCATATTCGATTACATCAAGGAGATGGTTGTCATCATTTGTCTGAAATGTCTGCACTGCTGTGATAGGCTTGCCGAGACACATAGCCCATTATGAGCAGGGCAAGGGGAGATGGCGTGGACACTCATGCGTACCGCCCAATGTCCAATCCCTACCAAGATCATGCAACTTTGCAGACACCTGGATGCAGATCACCATGAGAATTAGCATTTTCAAGGTTCAGGTCCAGGGTGGCTGACATGACTCACTGTTATGCTTATTTAATCATGCGAAAGTCACTCCTCAAATGACCAACTGAGTGGCATGATCTGTATTTGCAACCCAGAGCAAGTGATGGAAATTCCACATCCTATTGGTAGTGGCCACCTTTTCAAAGGACAAGCAACTATGACGTTTCTAGTTTTAATTCACAAACAGGTTTAGGTAAGCGGCAGTCAAGATTCGAACTCGTGAGAGTGCTCATAATAAAGGTTTTTGGGTTAGATCGCGTTTATTTATAAATGTATCGTAACCCTCCACCACCCGACACGGCCAATCAGCAAAAAAAGTGTCACGTTGACAAAAGACAAATAATTCACTACTTTAGCCCACCGGTGTGTTGAAGAGTGAATCCACATTTACAGTTTGAGTACGACGTTTCGCTGGTAAATACATCCAGCATCATCGGGCAATTCGCCAGAATGGTAAAGCCCTCGCTTGCTCCCGGTTTTATATAGAGCAGCAGGGTGACGTCATCACTTAACTCATATCAGGTGCAGTGATTAGAGGAGGAGGGGGGGGTATTGTAATTATATAATCGATTAGTAATCAGTCATTGGTTTTGATTAGTAATGAGTTGTAAATTAGTAATTATTTAATCAAAATGTAATGTGTATTATTTAATAATACGCTTGCAGGCCGCACTAAGCCTGTAGCTGTCAGAGCGATTAAAGTTATTCTTGTTCCTCTCAATTTCAATGGATTCTCTAATTAGTCTTTGCCAGTAATAATTAGTTTTACACACCACTGCAACATTGTCAAAATCAATTGAGTGTCCTTGTTGACATGCATGTTCTGCCACTGCCGACAGTTGTGTTTGAGATAATTTAATATTTCTCTGATGTTCTTTTAGTCTTACACTGATGTTACGTCCCGTCTGCCCAATGTAGCAGCTGCCACATAAACAATTAATCCGATATACACCTTCTGTTGATAATTTAGGTAATGCGTCTTTAGTGCAAGATACTAGTTTTTGAATTTTGTGTACTGTACCAAATCTTACTGTAATGTTTTGCTTTTGCAAAACACGGGCTAATTTGTCAGTTACTCCTGAGATATATGGATTTTTTATTGTTTTAACAATCTGGTCGCTTTCAGCAGTATTGCTTTGCGATCGTGATTTGGCATTCAGTGCTCTGTTAATTTGAGCATTATTGTAGCCATTCTGTCGTAGTGCGTCTTTAACGTGCTTAATCTCTCTCACTAGACTCTCACCATCTGACACTGTTTTAGCCCGATGTATGAGCGTCTTGATAAGAGAGGATTTCTGAGCTGGATGATGATGTGATTCTGCATTCAGATAGGCATCAGTGTGCGTTTGCTTTCTGTAAACGCTGTGTGTTATTTTACCGTTTAGGCCATGTCCAAGCAAAATATCTAGGAATGGGAGTGTGTTATTCACCTCCATTTCCATGGTGAACTGGATGGCCGGGTTTTGTGCATTGAGATGATTTAGAAAATCATTAAGTGTATCTTTACCATGTGGCCAGACAACCAAAGTGTCATCCACATATCTAAACCAAAAGGATGGTTTTAATGTGCTCGAGGCAAGTGCTCTTATTTCAAAGTTTTCCATGTACAAATTTGCTATAGCAGGGGATAAAGGAGAACCCATTGCTGCTCCTTCCTTTTGTTTAAAGAAATCCCCTCTCCATAAGAAGTAAGTGTTATTTAAACAATGGCCAGCAAGTTTCGGAATATCTTTTGGTAAACCGGTATTCTTTACTAGTGTATCAAGTAATTTAAGCGATTCGTCCACTGGAACCTTAGTGAATAGAGAAATCACATCAAAACTTACCAGAATATCATCAGGAGTAAGTTTAATATCTTTAATTACATTCACAAGATGTTCTGAATTTTTTATGAATGAATATGTCCTACCGATGTAGGGCTGTATTTGTTTGGTTATATATTTTGCTAATTGATATGTGGCAGAGCCAATTGTACTGACTATGGGTCGTAATGGGATGCCGATTTTATGAATCTTTGGTAGCCCATAGAGTCTAGGTGGTTTTGAGGTCCTTGGCTTAATTTGGTATTGCTCATTTTTAGGGATTAATGAATTTGCAATTATTGCAGTGGTCTTACGTTCTAAAATATTAGTTGGATCTCGTTTAATTTTAATGTAGGTACTTTCCTCTAGTAAATTTCTAATTTTATTATCATAATCGGCTCGTGCACTCTCTCTCTCTCGTGAGAGTGCACTGGTAGGCAAAACGCTTTAACCACAGCACCACTGCCAAATATCCTGTCATATATTCTAATAAAATAATTTTTTTACATTGTTCAAAAATGTTGACTTTTTATAAAATAATGTCACTTATCCAGGTCAAGCTGCAATATGGTTATTGGTAACATATAGTGGTATTAACACTGTCATATTAACATGTATATATGGTAATATTCACTTTTTATTCATTATTGTTACGTTACAGATGTGCGATATATATGAGATGGATGTATGTCCATGTGAATATGTTGTGAATGTAGAATGTTACATTTTCAGAATCAAAAGTCCACAAATCTGGAGACATTGCAGGTGACCCTTCAGAGGAAGTTGTGCAGTGGCCCAAACACAAGGATGGCAATGTGTACATCCCCTACAATGTCTCTATCGCATTCAGTGAGTGCAACGCGTGACACTTGATTTATACTGGGTTACGTTACCTGTGTCTGCTGGTGCCATGCTGTGTTACGTTACCTGTGTCTGCTGGTGTTGGGGTGGGTTATGTTCCCTGTATCTGCTGGTGCTAGGCTGGGTTACGTTACCTGTGTCTGCTGGTGCTAGGCTGTGTTACGTTAGCTGTGTCTGCTGGTGTTGGGGTGGGTTATGTTCCCTGTGTCTGCTGGTGTTGGGGTTGGTTACGTTCCCTGTGTCAGCTGGTGCTAGGCTCAAGTGACATAAAGAGGAACACATGGAGCACGGCACAAGCACAAAATAGACATCTCATTTACTCTTCTTTGATTCTTTCGGTAAAGTCACGTAGAATGAGAATAAAATAATAAAATAACACAATAAAATTATCACGACGTTTCGGCCACAACGCAAGCGGCCGTCTTCAGGTGAAAGGTACAGACCTGTCATCCACGGGCGCTTGCGTTGTGGCCGAAACGTCCTTAGAATTTTATTGTGTTATTTTATTATTTTATTCTCATTCTATGTGACTTTACCGAAAGAACCAAAGAAGATAAATCCTTGCAGTCACGAAAGCTTTAAACCTCATTTACTGTTAACAAAGATAAGTGGGCTTGGGTAGGACACATCATGGCTAAAACAGATGAAGGTCAATGGAAGGGACTGGTGAGTGCCAGCCAAAGAAGGGAACGAGATTATTACCAATGCGGCGAATGAGCGATAAGATCAGCTTGTGCAGGAAGGGTATCGATTGTGTCATAGCAGGACCATTTGGGATGGTATCTGCATGGAACCTTCATCTAACAGTGGATCTGTTATGGCTGATTATTATGAAACTTCGATTAAACATGTATTTAAATATTGAATTACTGCTTTGTGTTTGAATGCATGTAAAATGTGATTACCTAATATATACATCAATGTCATTACATTTCAGATCGCTCTGAAAAAAATGTAATTGAAAATGCCATCCAGGAGTTTCAGCGGAAGACGTGTGTACACTTTATTCCAAGAATTCGGGAGCTGGATTACATCAACTTTCAGGCACTGGATGGGTGAGTGGATGTGCATTAGTCCTGTGAGTGAATATGTAGCCTGTGTGCGTCCATGGTAAGTGGTGCTCCTAGTAGCACAGTTGGCTAGGTACAGTGTGAAAGAAGTTCAACATACATACATCTGCATGCAAGCATGTGTGCTTTAAGGGTGAGTGTAATTACATCTGTCCAAGCACTTGCATAAAAACAAAGATATGAAAATAATGACCCGATACAATTAGTGTATGCTTATGTCACCGAGCACCAAGTGTTATATTTTATAATTTTGATGATTGATGTTACTGATCATAGTTCAAATTTAAAAATATTATTAGACTATATAATCTTGGATGTGGCTGTATGAACCGTGAGATACCGGAATCAAGTGAGAAGTGAAAGTGGATCTATAGTTAGAGTTTAGAGTTTATTTTAAATTGTGACATGGATGGCTGTGTAGCCAATTTTCTGGCTGTTTTAAACGTGAGATACATGGTACTGCGGGACTATCGCAGCAGCTACAACAAAGCAAAACAAAACGTCAACGTTGCAGAAAACGAGTACAGGGTCCTTAAGGAATATTGCACAACTTGCAAACAAGGTATTTCACATTATTGGTTCTTTCGGTAAAGTCATGTAGAAGGGAAATAATAAAATAATAAAAAATAAAACAATAACATTCTCACGTTTCTATTGCAACACAAGCAATCATCATCAGGTGTGAAAACCACAGCAAGAAAATTCGAAAAAAGTATTTCACGGTTGCAAACGAGACACACGCAGATAAAAACTGTAAATGTAATATAAGTCTAACAGTAACATAAACACACACACATCGAAAAAGACCATACAAACATGTGGGAGCCAGAGATTCCAGAAAAAATTATATACATGTGCAGGTAACTGCTGTATTTTGGTATACCTGAAGCAGAAAGTTTAACTTTGGTACTTATCAGCTATGTGATAAGTGCAGAAACAACGCCTTTTGTTAAGTGATGTTTCATCTTCAGGACTGAGGAAACCTGAGATTATTCTTGTTTATCCATTGGTCCCCAAGAAATATTGAGCAAAATATGACATTTATTAATTTGAGGTCACATACAAAGGAACTATGTTGGGTATTACCTCACTATACGTCACAATGGGTTTAAGAGTTCAAGACAAAATGCTATTTTAAGTTCTATGTTAAACAAAAATTACATGGAAAGTAGGTGATGTGCCATTCTTTTTTTTATTGAAAAGGCCACAGTTCTCAGCGAGTGCGGCATTGTGGGAAAGTTACGCTGTACTATATAATGCTGCACAACGAAATGACTCTCCGTGTCTCTTTAGTGTAATGTAGTGGCTGTGTGTTGTTTACAAGACATCCCGGGTGCTGTGTGAGCAGGAGCTGGTCGTTTCTGGGCAAGAAGGGAGGGGCTCAGTCTGTGTCGCTGGAGCCCGGCAAGGTGACCAAGGGCACGGTTCTGCACGAGTTGATGCACGCGCTCGGCTTCCACCACGAGCACTGCCGCAGCGACCGTGACCAGCACATCAAGGTCCACGAGGACAACGTCGAGGAAGGTGGGGAATAAACTAGACTAGAGAGTGAGTTTAAAGGATGACAGAATAATAGGAGAGACCAGCAGGGATAAGATGATGAAACACAATGGAGGCAGTTGATTGAAGAAGTTACAGAAATTAGGAGTGTAAGCGTAAACAACAAAGTACATGTTTGCGTACATATGAAAACAATGTCTGTCTGGCGATACTAGAATAAGTCTAGGTCTGATTTATTTTAAAATATGACCTATGCTTAGACAACTCTTAATCATTTACTTTTAACAGTTTGAGAGTCCATAGAGATGAATGTTCTCATTTTAATAATGCTTTCTGACTGTTTGATGTGGGGGTCACAATCTCTCCCATATCAATTACCTTCTATCAATAAGGGGTATTATAAACTTGTGTTACTCTAAAGGAATTACCCTACAGAAGACCTGGTAATTTATCAAAGGGTTGTCTAAAATTCTGGAAAGAAATCTTATCAGTAATTACTTCGCCTAGTGGACCTTTGCATGATATCACATACCACGGCTGATGACATCATATGCTCATGATGACCACGCAGGTGACATCAAGTAGCTATGTGTGACAATCTTGTTTATCATTCACTTGTTAACTTTAAACATAAATAGAGTTGAGGCCTAGTGCCTCCGTGGCAAGGTCTGCCTTGCCTGGTTTTCCTGCCCAAGTCCTCTCCCTTATCTGGAAACAGGTATCAGGATGAGATCACGGTAGGCACATGTCACTCATTGTAAGTGGCATCCGCAGTGGTGTGTGACTTCACACAGTAGCCAAAGAGACCCATGTAATTAATGGTGAGGTTTCTTTCCACTCAGTTTTCGCCCTTAATAGCAACACAACTGTATAATAACCCCTTTTCGTAATAAGTTATGAACACTGATAAATTCAGGCATTATAAGATTGGAATATTTTGAGATGTTGGTGTCTTGTTAAATGAAGAAAAATAGTTGATGAAAATTAAGAGTCACAATAAAGTGCTCGAGAAAGTTCAGGAAAGAAATTTGAATGGAATAACTCAGAGAAATATGGACTAATTAAGGGTGGTGGAAAGGCTTGTTGAACAAAGCTCGAAGAAAGATGTTGTGCCAAAGGCTAAGAGGTAGAAAAGGAAGGCACCGCTCAGTTACTTGAAGAAAGGAGAACAGAGAACAAGATGAGAAAAGTGAACCATTACAAGGAGGGAACTTAAATTATGAACTCAAGAGAGTGATGGACATAATGTGTATCAGTGTCTTCTCCGAGCACTGTTAAGGGGGCAGGCTATGTAGGAGTGGTTAACTGCATCTGCTCAGATCCACTTGCGCCTCACAGCTGCCTGGTAACACTGAGTGATCCTTCACAAGGTCTCCGAAGGCTTCAAAACAAATGAGAGATACATTTCAGTTGCATACATTATGCCAGTGATACACCAGTGATACGTGTCATGAGTTAACAATTGTCCTGCGTGGCATCTGGTGCAGCTGATCTCTGTCAGTTCAAGCGGCTGGAGTCCAGTGACCGAGTCTACGGGCTGCCCTATGACTTTGACTCCATCTTGCATTACAGCAGGTGAGCAGTGCACCCCTTCCATGACGGGGACCCGTAGCCAACTCGTCTGATGAGCATTTGAAACTGAATTTGTCTTATGTTTGGTAACATTGCAGAAATATTATTCAACTCGGAAATACTCATATATTATATATCAATTATCCTTAACACGTGACACTCGGAGATAAATTAAATGTTGCTGCCCCTATTCCTGTGTTTTTGATTGTGATACATTTGTGAGGAATTTAATAAAAGCCCACTTTTTCTGTTTATAATACTGTTTAGTTGATAAATTGGCCGAACAACTCCCCGTAATGTTCATGTTGGCAATTTACATGGGTCAATACGCATTTTACTAGACAAAAGGGGACATAACTGACCAGGGCCTGGTCCACTGTGGCAGCAGTGAGTGGTGTTTTACCCATGTTGATAGTTTTCTTGCCATTCCCAAGTAAAATAAAGTGGGCAGACCCTGGGGCATGGCAGTGAAACGATGGCCACCAGCGCATTGCCACCCTGCTCTGGCAAGTGAATCAGCTGGTTAAAGTGTAGAGCGCACACACAAGCTGTGTGCGCCTGCACTTGGGTATGCCTATGGTGCCACAATTCACTGTCATAACGATCCCATAAATACACCAGCAACTTGAGCAATGGGTTAAGGACAAAGATATGATTATATGCCCAATATCAAAGCACCAAGAGGAAGAGGTTAAAAATCTACGGCAAACAGACAAAAAGAGAAACAAATTTAGATCGCCGGACAAGGAAATTATGTCGCATGCTCACAACATACACACACAAGGGGCGTAACAGCCATTGAAGTCCAGAAACCAACATAGACCAAGGAGAAAATCCAACATCACAAGACCCAGTCGACCATCCACCCAATCACAGCAGCCTTGATGCCACCAACCACATCACGGTCAACACAACTGCCAATACAGTTGCAAAGGATCCCCCATAAATGCAACACTGGGAAAGGCCCCCTATGTCAACACACATTAGCTGAGGCAAGCCCCAAGAGAAGGCTCACGATACACTTGGGCTCACTCAGAAAGTGCCACCCAGGAAGGCATTTCGCAATAGGGAGAATATCTTAATGTCAGCCTCACACTTCCCCACTCTTGCGATAGGCAATAGGGGGTGGACTCAGGAATGAAGTGGCAGTGGGCAGACTTCACGCTGAGCTGTACACATACTTGTCCGCTCTGGCCCCACGCCCCGCCTCTACTCACTGGTGCCTGCAGCTTAAACCCATTGCCACGGTGCAGGGGAAATGTGTGTCAGATTTGTTGTCCCGTGTATTCATGTTCCCAGCCGCCCTACCATTGATTTATTATTCACTTTGTGAGATGTGTATATTCACATAGTGTTTATTTACATACTTCATCTGACTTGCAGGTTCCTTGGGAATTAAAACATCAATAAGACTGGGAAGGATGTAATTTGATAATGGATTATAAATTTAAATCATGTATTTTTATTTTCAGATGTGCATCCTCCATTGATGGAGTCAGTCCAACAATTGTCCCCATTAAGGAGACTAAAACTTCGTTTGGCCAGAGAGACCACCTCAGTACAAATGACGTGTTGAAAGTGCAGAGGATGTATGAAGAGGTATGTAACTGAAAGCAGGGTTTGTTTTGTCAATAAAATACAATTTCGGTAAAGTCACGTATAAATATAAAATAATAAATTACATAATAACATACGACGTTTCGATTGCAAAGCAAGCAATCATCAGGTACAAATGAACGAGAAACACACCTAGTAAACTTAGAAATATAATGCAACACAGCGCAGAAAGTCGGCTGACACAACAGTCAACACCCTACCTGGTTGATTACGTCCAAGAGAGAAACAAGACACAGAACCGGAGACACATACACAGACACACAAGCGGAAAGAGTTAACACAGAGACACAGAGAGAGAGACACACGCATGGGCACACAGAGAAACAACGTCTCTGTGTCGAGGCCTTAGGGGGGGGGGGGGGTTAGAATAATTAATTAGAATAATTAGCATGTCAATGTGAGATCCCACAATGAGAGAACCACCGCCAACGCTGCAAAAACCGAGGGGGAGACAGAGAAGAAGGCAATACTGAATCAAACTAACTTAGTAAAATTTGGAAATGTAATGTAATGCGACACAGAGCCGGTCAACACACAATTAACACATGGTCTGGTCAATTACTCCACTCCAAAGATTGCTCAATTAGAAGTTAAGTGTGAAATTTGGGAGATAGACAAGGCACAGACATGGAGACAAAGACAGACACACAAGCAGAGAGAGACAACAACGAGACACAGAGAAATTTGGGAGAGAGACAAGGCACAGACATGGAGATACAATAGAACCAAAGAATAATTCCTGCAGTCACGAAAGCACCTAATCGAGTTTGAATCGCCTCTACGGGGAGGTTTTAAGTTTGTTTTTTCCTCTCTCTGTCTCGTTGTTGTCTCTCTGTGCTTGTGTCTTTGTGTCTCCATGTCTGTGCCTTGTCTCTCCCAAATTTCTCTGTCTCGTTGTTGTCTCTCTCTGCTTGTGTGTCTGTCTTTGTCTCCATGTCTGTGCCTTGTCTATCTCCCAAATTTCACACTTAACTTCTAATTGAGCAATCTTTGGAGTGGCGTAATCGACCAGACCATGTGTTAATTGTGTGTTGACCAACTCTGTGTCGCATTACATTACATTTCCAAATTTTACTAAGTTAGTTTGATTCAATGTTGCCTTCTTCTCCGTCTCCCCCTCAGTTTTTGCAGCGTTGGCGGTGGTTCTCTCATTGTGGGATCTCCCATTGACATGCTAATTCTTCTAACCCCCCCCTCTCTCCCCCTCTCTAACTATTTAAGGCCTCGACACAGAGACGTTGTTTCTCTGTGTGCCCATGCGTGTGTCTCTCTCTCTCTGTGTCTCTGTGTTAACTCTTTTCGCTTGTGTGTCTGTGTATGTCTCCGGTTCTGTGTCTTGTTTCTCTCTTGGACGTAATCAACCAGGTAGGGTGTTGACTGTTGTGTCAGCCGACTTTCTGCGCTGTGTTGCATTATATTTCTAAGTTCACTAGGTGTGTTTCTCGTTCATTTGTACCTGATGATGATTGCTTGCTTTGCAATCGAAACGTCGTATGTTATTACGTTATTTATTATTTTATATTTATACGTGACTTTACCGAAAGAACCAAAGAATAATTCCTGCAGTCACGAAAGCACCTAATCGAGTTTAAAACACAATTTGTACCAAAAAGTTAATGAGCATTATCAATGATGTGGCACCTAAGAATCTTAGGGTCCATAACCAACCTTTTGCTTAATGTTGCAATATATGCACCCTTAACACAGTGTAACCAGAGAATAGCACGTGAAGTCATACTTAAATATATAGTTTTCTAGGGGTAGACAGCAAAGGCTGACTATACCTGATTAGATCAAAGCTGATCGACTTATAATCCTATCAGGTATGTTTTTATGTTTTCGAATGTGATCACCTTGTGCCAATGTTTAGTTGAATAATAACTTTTTACTCAACACTGACTGAAATATTAAATTGTTATTCTCTGTACAGCGCAGTGGGTAAATAAATAGCAGAGCTCAGTTACTACTGCTAAAGTGCAATGGGTTCAATGTCAAGAGGTCATCGTGGCCAATGCTGGAGAAGCCACCACATTCCGGCTTCGCTAATGTTGCTTCATCACGCAGTTTTGGCAAAGCCGACAGGCAAACACATGGGTCACCTTTTCCTTTCTGGCATAGTTACGCGGATTTCATAGGGCTAGAACACCACATGAATGGCACGCACTGATTCTACACAACCCCGACATCTACAGCATAGCATGACTGTATCCCTGTGCTTCCGCAACCCCGCCTACTTCAGCTCATTCCACAGCTCGACTGGGGCATACCAAGATGCCATACCCACGTGGCAAAAGGACCCTTTTCTAGTATTGCACAAAGCAGAACTTGCATGAGTCTGCTAAAAGGCTATCATTTTATCAATAGTAGATGTAATGACAGACAAACATTGTTCATGAGTTGGACCCATGAACTCTGGGATTTAGATATAAATTAGCTAAATAAACTGCTCATGTTTTAACGTGAGCTAGTTGTGGCTTCTGCTCAAAGGATATGATGCACACTACATGATGAATGTCCTACCCTAATAGTATATCTGTATTTGCCTCAGTGGCAGATGTATAAAGCTCTTTATTGAGCCAGGCTGTCCCTGAACGTCCTGTCTCTGTGTAGACAAGAGAGAAGCTGAAGATGGAGACCGAGAGACAAGGTGAGTTGAGTGTCATTGTTCATATATTTATGGTGTAAATGTTTAAAATTACACAGCACAGAGATGCGTGGAGTGGGAGACGTGGGGACACAGCACAGAGATATGTAGAGTGAGAGACGTGGGGACAGCACAGAGATGGGTGGAGTGAGAGACGTGGGGACAGCACAGAGATGGGTGGAGTGAGAGACGTGGGGACAGCACAGAGATGCGTGGAGTGAGAGAATTGGGGACAGCACAGAGATGGGTTGGACACAACACAGATGGATGGAGTGAGCAGAAGCCTTGTGTTGCTATGATGCACGGAGTGAGTAACTAAGGTGCAGCTCGTACCACCACATCAGAGCACAACATTGTCGTTTCCACAACCTCCCAATGTAAGAAATAGGAAGATAATGTGCCAAGTCAAGTTTATTTGTTTAAGCAGGAGTGAACTCGAGTGGCCAGGATGGCTTCATTTACAGGAGTGACTTGGGTCACCAAAATTATGAAAGCAAAATAAATAACAACGTATAGCAATTAAATTAATAGAAATCAGAGAAAAATCAACTTTGTTATGTGAGAAATCGAAAATATTGCACGAAGATGCAACACTGTTAAATAATACATTTCCTTTACCCAAAGTTGGCTCGGGGATATTATTTTCAGATTGATCATAGTACAATTAAGTTATGGTAAAGCTCAATAACTATATGACTGTTGTAATACTGTGTAAACAGACAAGGGATATATGAGTGGCATGCAAT